CCGGGGGCCCCACCCCCCCCCCCAAAAGGATCCCTGAGGGCAGAGCCGGGGGGTCCCCGCTGCCCCGCGGGCCCCGCCGCGCTCCCTTCCTGGGTTGGATTCGCTGATTTTTTTACGTGATTTTGAGGTATTTGCCTTTTTTGCCAGTGGCCCGGCAGCCTCCGAGCACAGGGACCCCGGGGAGAGTGAGTAGCACCCATAAAACCGCGGGAGAAAAATTAAAAGGGGGGATGATGATGCTGGGGTGCGAGCGTGGAGTTTGCAGTGTGCAACGTGCTCCGCGCTGCCCGTGCACGAGCACGCGGTGCATGCACCGTGCAAGCACCTTGCACGAGCACATGGTGCATGCACCGTGAAAGCACCTTGCACGAGCATGCGGTGCATGCACCGTACAAGCACCTTGCACGAGCACATGGTGCATGCCCCGTACAAGCACCTTGCATGAGCACATGGTGCATGCACCGTGCAAGCACCTTGCACGAGCACGCGGTGCATGCACCGTACAAGCACCTTGCATGAGCACATGGTGCATGCACCGTACGAGCACCTTGCATGAGCACATGGTGCATGCACCGCATGAGCACCTTGCACGAGCACGCGGTGCATGCACCGTACAAGCACCTTGCATGAGCACATGGTGCATGCACCGTGAAAGCACCTTGCATAAGCACATGGTGCATGCACCACACAAGCACCTTGCATGAGCACGCGGTGCATGCACCGTACAAGCACCTTGCATGACCACATGGTGCATGCACCACGCAAGCACCTTGCATGAGCACGCAGTACAAGCACCTTGCACGAGCACGGAGTACAAGCACCTTGCAGGAGCACGCAGTGCATGCACCATGCATGCACCTTGCATGAGCATCTGGTGCACGCACTCCCTGCATGCGCGCTTCCCACGCACCGTGTCCACACCCTGTTCTTCCACAGAGTGCTGCAACCCCGTGCCGTGCACTGTACAGGTACACTGTGCCCGCACACCGTGCACATACACCTTTCCTATGCATGGTGTGCACACACCGCGCCGCACACTGTGTCTGTACCCCTTGTCTTTGCAGGGTGTGCATGCACCGTGCTGCACACGCACACCGTGTGTAGGCGGTACCTATGCACGGTGTGCATGCATGATGCAACTGACCCTGCACACACACCCTTTCTGGACATCATGCACACACCATGCACACGCGCCGTGCACACTCACCCTGCACTCACACCCTTCCCGTGCACCACGCACACACACCATGCACGTGTCCTGTGCATGAGCACCGTGCATGCACACCACATCTGCAAACCCTGCACGCACACCTTTCCTGTGCACCATGCACGCGCACCATGAATGCACACTGTGCATGCACACCACATATGCACAGCGTACATGCACAGCACGCACGCATACCACACAGGTACTCCAAGCACACGTACTGTGCACACACACCTTTCCTGAGCACCATGCACACCATGCACCCCGTAGCATGCACACACACCTTGCACGCACACCAGGCATGCACACCTTCGCATGCTCCACACACACCATGCACCCCATAGCGTGCACGCACACCATGCACACACAACCCACACATGCAGCGTGCATGCACAACCTCCCCACACATACCATGCACGCACACTTTTTCTGTGCACCTTGCACGCACGCCGTGCACCCCACAGCGTGCACGCACACCCTGCATGCACACCATGCATGCACAAACCATGCGCACAACATGCACCTACACCTTGCATGCACACCTTGCACGTATATCAGGCACACGCACCTTGCACACACACCATGCATGAACACCGTGCACGTACACCATGCACACGCGCTGTGCACACACACCATGTGCGCATTGTTTCCATGCTCCATATCCACACACCATGCACCCCACAGCATGCACGCACACCCTGCATGCACCACCCACACGCACACCGTGCACGCACACCTTGCATGCATGCCATGCACGCACACCACGCACGCACCATGCACACACACCTTGCATGCATGCCATGCATGCACACCTTGCACACACACCATGCACACACACCTTGTACACGCCATGCACACACACCATGCATGCACACCTTGCACACGCACAATGCACACCATGCACACACACCTTGCACACACACCCTTCCTGCACACCCTGCACCGGCGGCCCAGCACCAGCAAGAGCCCCCGCGCGAAGCCGTCGCGCGTTCCGAGGTCCAGCACCGATTCCCGTTTGCAGGAGCGCGCCCGGATCCACCGCACGCCGTTATGGCAAAGCGAACGCCGAAGCGTCCGCGGGTCCCTACGGACACAAGTAGCACCGGGGCGGGACGGAGCCGGGCCGAGGCCGCGCTCCAGCACCGAAGATTTCCCCAAATTCCCTGGGGAGCCAAGCAAATCCTCCAGGATCCAAAGGAAAAGAACCCCCCGGCGGATGGAGGCACCTCGGGGATTTTTGCACCGCCGCCGGGATGCAGCCGCAATCCGGGAGGACACGGGAGCACCGAGCCGGGGATTTGCATTTTTCCCCGTGAGACAGATTTCCTGGGAGCAAAGCAAAAAAAAAATAACCCAAAATAAAACAATCCTTAAAGTGAAAACTCTTTGCAAATAACCCGTCGAGGTCCCTCCGCTCCAGAGGGGTTTGCACCGCGTGTTGTTGTAGCACCATGGTTGGGTTATACCTGCCGCGAGCGAGTCCACCGCGCCGAAACCACAGAAACAACAATAATAATAATTATAATCATCATCATAAATCCCCCCCCCAAGAATTGCAGATTGCAATTGCAAATTTTAATTGCAATTGCAAGCTTTTAAAATCCGTGATATCAAGGGACGCCCGCCGCCCCGCTCCCCGCCTC